ATAAAACCACTAGTTCATAGTCAATATGTTTGGCTTATAGTAGTTTATGGCCGATAGTTGAAAAATAAGATGATACAATAAAGTGTTTGATAAAATTAACTGATAAATCAGTTGAAATAAAAATGTCAACGAGCCCTTTTTTTATGAACTACATAAAAACTTACGAGATAAGCTACATTTTTTATTTTCAATTTATCATACCAAACCAAATTTAATAAAATGTAAGATGCCATGCTTAACTAAATAAGATATGAGCTAGCTTATATGTTTACCAAACATACTCTACTAATTAGACGGCATGCCTAGGGTTATTGGGCAACCATCAGTGTAATTTGGATAGTCCATTAGAAAAAGGCCCATTAAACGCAATGACAGGCCCGTTTCAACCGACTCTCTCAATCTCCGTCAAAAAAACCCTAGGTTTAAATCCTCTCTACACAAAGCAGCAAAACGTCCCTCGAGCAGAAAGAAAAACATATATCACTGCTGCACTACTGAGCTGAGCAGCTCCAGAAAAGGCGCCGGCGAGAATCTGCTAACCACACCGTAATTCAATTCCGGCATTCTAACTTACCTTCCTAGATTCTAACGTTGTTTTTCTGTATGAAATTGAGTCGAATCTCGCCGTCGATTGTGTTTACAGGAAAATGGCGGACAAGGCAGTGACCATTAGGACGCGGAAGTTCATGACAAATCGCCTCCTATCCAGAAAACAATTTGTATGCGTTCTTCCTTTTCATGTGATTTGCCTTTTCGCGACGGCTGTTTACCGTTTGTTGTTTCTGTTTTTGTTCGTTTTCGTAGGTTATTGATGTGTTGCACCCAGGAAGAGCTAACGTTTCCAAGGTCTGATCTCATTTGGCCATATATAATTTATCTTTACGCGCATTTTCTCTTCAATTTCGTGCTGTAGCATATGATATAGAATGAGGAATTGTAGGGCATTGTGAAAATTTTTAGGATATATTTTCTAGTTGAGAAAAATGTAGGGGTTCTTGATTTTCCATCATTTTCTCATTTGCGAATTGCTGAAAATTTATTGAAGGCTGAGCTGAAGGAGAAATTGGCTAGGATTTATGAGGTTAAGGACAGCAATGCCATATTTGTGTTCAAGTTCAGGACGCACTTTGGTGGTGGCAAATCTACTGGGTTTGGCCTGATCTATGACTCTGTGGAGAGTGCGAAGAAATTCGAGCCCAAGTACAGGCTAATCAGGGTAATTAGTTTGCTATCTTTAGCTGTATATGTTTGCATTTATCTCTTGTGTTGTTTGGTTAGCTCTTTCCGTTGCTTATCTTCACTTGTCACCGATTTGCTGAACTATGAATCAAAGCTTGCAGTTCCATATTTTTTTGGAAATTAGGGTAATTAGTTTACTAATAGTAGCTGTATATATTTACATTAATATCTTGTTTGTTTGGTTAGCTCCTTCCGTTGCATATTTTCACGTGTCACGGATTTGCTAGTCTATAATTCAAAGTTTGCAGTTCCATATTTTTTGAAATTTAACTGCATTTGAAGAGAACTTCTTTCATTTAAAAAATCTTAAACTGGTTAGTTATTCTTGTTGTCCCAAGTACGGGTAACTTAGCATAGTCTTATTTCTTCTATGAGCTCAATTTAGAGTTGCAAACTCTAGCATTCAGTTAATCCTGTGGCCCTGTGGAGTTACTTATGATATTGATCGTGTCATCGTGTTAGTTAACTATTGTTTGTGGTGAGTTATTGGGGTGGCGATATCATCACTTCGCGCGAGAATATAATTCAAAATACTTACTTATTTTGTGTTGCTTTTTTGTTTTGTCAATTTCATATTTTCTTAGTCCATGCATTATTCAACTTTATGCTGAAAAATGGTATAGAGTTTTTGATAGTCGGTCTATGAACCCTATGCTCTATTAATTTTCTTGATAGGCGCAATTTGAAATATGGAAAAAATCAAGATAAATGATGCCAGAATTTTTTTTTTCTCTCTATGGCTTGATATTATTATTATTATTTATTTGATGAGATGTGGTACTTTGGTTTCAGAATGGTCTTGATACCAAGGTTGAGAAGTCCCGAAAACAGATGAAGGAAAGGAAGAACCGAGCCAAGAAAATCCGTGGTGTTAAGAAGGTATCAAGTGTTTTTCCATTTATATTATACTCCCAAGTCTCATATTTCTTATAAGCATCTTACATAACTTCTGGTAGATAAAGCAATGGTCGTTCTAATCACGTTATTACTTTTGAACAGACTAAAGCTGGTGATGCTTCTAAGAAGAAATGAGCTCTCAATAGGATATGGTGTATTTTCATTTTCGTTGTTTTTTCCCCAATGTTGAAGATCATCAATGCGTCACCCTAACTTAATGTTGGTTTAATGGAAGACCTTTCTTAGACATTGTACTGCATACAGTTTTTCGGTTTTGGACTTGTTCAGTTTTGTTGTTGTTGATCGCATTTACTTATTGGGTGAAAATTTGGGCCTTGTACTGTTGTGTTCTCATGGTCATATATAGTTTTGAAGATGAAAAAAGATATTAAGAAAATAAATAAAGTTAGAATAGTACCTTTTTTTGCCGGATAGGTGGGGTAGGTTATAAAACTCTTGGTCGCTTATCCTGTAAGATGCCGCTTTCCATAAGAAAACGACATCTTTTGTGGACTCACCGATGCTGCCACTTGAGTTGTGGCTCGGTCGTGGGCGTCCATTAGGCCCGTACGTGAAGGGTCACTTGGTTTGTGATCTTCGGAAGAAATTGAAACCTCGTGACTTAACACTAGTCCCTATTCACTTGTTTAGTCAACCGGGGATGAGTGACTTCCTTGAGTGGTCACTCAACACTGTTTGAACAGAAATATTCATAATTTCATATGGGTTCTTCGCAACGGAAATATTCATACGAGAATACAATGGGGCATGGAATAGTTTTATATTACTACAGTCGGAAGTTAACATCCACGTCATAAATCATTACAAATAACTATTTTGAATAAATGATTATAAGTTCATATTCAATATAAAGATCTTAATGAAAAAACCACGAACAATAACATTAATTTAATGACGTAATAAATTAATAATACTGGTAAAATATAAATTAATAATACTGGTAAAATATTAATATCCGTCATCTATATATATATAATTGTTGTCATACAACATTTAATAAAATCTAATTAATAAAACCTCTATTCATTTTCCCGCTATTTTTTCAATTAATGCAGAACCGTTACATTTTATTTTCCCGCTCATTTTTTCAATTAATGTAGAACTGTTACATTTTACATTAATAAAGTGTAATAATAATTTTAAACTAAATTATTCACTACTAACACTAATTGATTACAACTTTACATTAAATAGTATGTGGAAGTTACATACATATAAAAAAATTGTATTGCAATTTTTTTTATTTCAAATACTTTCTCTAAAATAAAATATTTTTTTTGTCTTTTTAAGCGGTTTTTATCTAATATTAGTTAATTGACGTGAGTGTCATAATTAAACACCATAAATCACATAAACAATTATTATGATAAAAATAATTATTATATTTTTCTAACTAATTAATTGTATGGTCCGTAAATTACTAAATTATACTATCCATTAAAATTTATGGCATCAACATAAAGATTCATACGTAAATTAAATAGTTTATATTTACATTACACATTTGCATATATTCAAAATTTAAAATGTAATACATCAATTATCTAATATAATTTTATATATTGTATACATACATATAATATATAAATTTGCACTTTTCTTTGTGCATGTGCACAGGATGAATACTAGTTTTTTAAATCAAAACTAATTAAAAATCGTACCTTCATCTGAGAAGAGAAATTTACCCCCTTTATAATCTATTGGCTAAATAATATCACAATTACGATCACACATTTTTTTATCATAATTATGTTTTTAATAATTAATATAATATTAATAGGTGAAATAGTTATATATGGCTTCTTCCTCAAGAAGCAGTCCAACTCACGTCTCTCTCTCTTTCTCTCTCTCTCTCTCTCTCTCT